GATTGACATGCTTCGCCTTTCTCAAAGCTTGGAAACCGCAAGTTCGCTAAGTCGGTTTTAATAAGATGCAAAGTTACGTTACTTGAGATCTTGTTCAGGCCTTCTCACACGCATTTTTGGTTGAGTAAAACTTAGCAGCTCTTAAGTCTTACTTAACAGCCTAGTGTAAAGACAACCACTGTCTACACGAAAACTAAAGACGCTTTTCCAAAAATTCAAGCTTGAGCTTACAATAGGTATTCACGCTTGCATCGATCACGCCTTCGTAAATATTAGGGAGTTTGATATGCCACGACAGCTGACAACCACGTTGCATAAAGAGTGAACTCACATTTTTTCAGTCTCTATCGTGATTATTCCAACTCACTTACTTTGTCAAATGCACGCGAACTCTTCTGGAGCTGAATTTCTATCAACCATACCCAAGTTCACAAAGAGAAAGAAAATTTTGTCATTGCTTGTTTACGTCCTTCACAAAACGTGAAATTAGGCATTTTCACGTGGTAGTCGTGCAGTGACGGCAAAGAAATATACAAAAAAGCGTGATGCACGTGCAAAGTTGTTTTTTGCCTTGTCAAGCTATTACTTTTTTTACTTTCTCGTCGCCGCTACATCCTAAACTTCCTATTATTTACGATACATTGTGAACCGTCAGAAACAGAATTTTCTCAGTGCAAATTAAATTGCTCCTGCTGATAGCATCCGAAACGTTTTTCGACTCATCGGTAGTTTCTTCGTTTCTGGTTAGGAAAGCTTGGTGAACGAACCGGGCAACTGTAGCGAGATAATAGCCGTCGTGTACGAATTCACGAAAAGAACTCAGGAGATACTGTTCGGCGATTGGGCACAATAATACAAAGAATTTTTTAGGCCCAATCAGGAACCAGCATTCTCTTGACCGTTTGGAAATGGTCCGGTGAGAGTCGGTACCCAGGAGCTTTTCCGCCTGTGCTAGAAAACGTTTGTCGCGTTTTTTCTCCCGGCCCGACTGACCGCCCCTGGGTCTCCGAGGATGATTCTCTTACGGCCCTGGGACGAGGAACTTCTTAGCATGATCGGCGAGGCTAATGCACGTCAAAATACAAACAATCATAAGAAAATTGCGGCTCAATCGCTGGAAAACGATGGAAATTATGAAAACAGTAAGATTTCAAAGCTCAAACTTTACCAGTGCCGGCTCTGTTTCAAAGAACAAAACTGTGGGAAGATCTGCTCGTGCTAACAGAGAAATGAAAAAAAAAAGAAGAAAGAAAGAAAAGAAAAAACCACAATGCCAATAGACAATAGAAGAAGTAAGCTAATCTTCTTATCCATATCTTATCAGTTTTAGTCGAGTGTATATCTGTTAAATGGAGCAATTCATTGCCAAACTGCTCAGTATTTCCGTGTTTGCCGGCGTAAAGGTCTGTGTCCCACTTCTCGTCGAGTGACATGTGACAGAAAAAGTCTATTTTGACGAATGTAATTAGCTAAATTTATAAGCTTAAATAAACTTTACTTTTTATATCACCTTTTTTCATTTCGGTGGAAGAACCGTATGCTGAACATCATCCCCGTCCTCATAGATGATTATCCACCGAACGTACTTGTTCGTAGTTTCAAATACACAAGATTTATCTTTCATCCGCTCCGTTAGAAAATGTCAACTGAAAAATAGAGAGAGTTTCTGTGCACGTGTAACACAGCAACAAGCAAACGTGAGAAGCGTTACCTTAACAAATGTGTTAGACAGTGTGTCAGTACATATCGCTGCAAGAGCTCTGCTTCTTCAACAGCTCCCCTACGCCACATCCACCACAAACTGACAAACGAACGTTTGGTAAGGTTTTACTCAAAAACTGTACAGTGAAAAGATAAAAAGTATGGCTAAGTGCCAGAGGCAATTTGGAAATGAGTTACTGTCCAATTCTACAACGGCTCAAGGTGAGACCTGGGACCCGTTCTCGAAAGTCCCGCTAACCGTTACCGAATCCGGGAAAAAAAACCCACTCCGAAAACCGAATAACTGTGGAGTTTAGGTAGTAGGGTTAGGAAATTGATTGAATCAAGTTTCAGGTCAGTTTGCCTATTATAATGACTTTAAATGGAACATGATTCACCCAGTTTCCTAACCCTAATCACCAAACTTCAGGGTCATTCGGCCTTCGGCTTGTGCTTCCGCCGGATTCCGGGTTTTAGGCAAATCCTAAGGGACCCGGTAAGTCGCCCGGTATTTGCCCACCCCCCCCCCCCCCCCCCCACCACCCAAAAAAAACAAAAAAAAAAAAAAAAAAAAATTTATGTCTCCTTTCTTTTTTTTTTTTTTTTTTTTTTTTTCTTTACAAAAAAAACCCACTATTTTTTTTATTTTTCCCTAATAAACTCATCCAACATCATTTTAATGACGATGTAACTTTTTCTACTATGA